AAAATTTCCTTTGCTTCTCGCAGCTCTGGGAGTTCAGAGTGCAGAATTGTCAGAAAGATGTCATCTGCCAGAAAGCAATCATAAGCAATGCTATGATAATCAAACCCAACCAAGAATTTTCTTTTGCACATTTCAAAAATTTAATCTACAACCTAAGGGTCAGCTTCAAGACTGGACCTTCGAAACACAGGTGGAAAAGTAAACCAGTGGTTTTTGTGCTCAAATGGTATCGGAACTTAGCCTAGGCAAATAAAAATCCAATCTTTCCTGAAATCAATGGGATACACTCCCAAAGTCAGTGTGATCAGGTTTTAAGTATCAGATATCATTAACAACTGCCCATACCTGTTAGCTTAGTGTAAGCTTTCATATCCTCTATAGCTGTAGAGAGGTGGTATTCTTTTCCTTTAGAGCCCTTTATCTTGATATACTTATCAGCTTTTAAGAAAGCATCTGTAATCCTGGGTTGAAACATGTGACATGAATAAGAATTCTTAACTTTGATATTACTTACAGTCAAAGATTTCAACTAATTTTAGAAACATCACTTTCCTAAATTAGGACCACTAGAAGTAAGCAAAGCGGAGACAAGGGTGGCAACAGCTCAGATTAAGTTTAATTTGTCTTTTTATTGAAGGACATTTAGCAAAATTCTCTTCCAGCAATTATTTAAGAAAGGTGGTTATTCACCTAAGTGGCTCCCCAAAACACCCCAGTAGTGTTGCAGCCTTTAATTGATTTCTTGGTGATATTAATTAATTAAACACTTCGTGATCAACTGCAAGTGCACCCTAATTAAATTGGGCAACACATTTTAGAACATAATACTTTTAATGCAAGTACTTTTAGTACAAGTACTTTGTAGGCATTCTCCCTTCATTCACACACGAGATGGAATATGCTTCTTCTAAGATGATGCCTGCTATGACATACATGTGTACCATCTAAAAACAAAGAAATTGATAAAATCTGAATTATTAAAGTTTGTATGATTAAGACCAACATCAATCCCTATCCCATAACCCATCAATCCCAACTTACATAGTTTCAATGATGTTGCCAACCTTGTGCTGATAGGCTCTGCGGTGCAGGCAGTTTCGGGTATGGAACATGTCATATAAATTTCCAACCTCCTGGAGTCCAAGATAAAAACTGCCTTTTAACTGGCTTCTATATTTAGAATGCAGTGCTAGACAATGGATTATTCATGGCAAATATTAGGCATCCTGTTCACACAGCTTTGGAAATACAAGTCCACCAAGGAGGACCTTCTGGTTACACAAAGGACAGTGAGAAAGATTTCCCCACAAATGCTTGTGTCTCAGTCCCTGAGAGTGGGTAGCACATATCTAAAGACAATTTTTAGAGAAACAAGAGGGTATCCGAAGAAACATTTTGTACAAGAAAGAACTTGTATCAGTATATATGTTTAATCAACTACTTCTACTTGGTTCCTCAGTAGATACTTATCTATGAATAATATGCTAAGCATGTTTACTTAGAAGTCCAAATGAGTTCAATGGGCCTTACTCCTTAGTAAGCATGATGAAGATTGCATCTTAAGAACACAAAAGAAAAGACAACTGCTTTAATAAGTGAAAAGTTCATCAACAGCAGAAGAATCTTCCTGCAAGAGACATCAGAAAGCAAAGTGAACATTCTACCTGATGTTTCAGGTATTAATTCTGACACCTTTAGCACTGTTAACTGGCAAAAGTGTGGGTTGCTCTTGATATATCTCTGTTGTTGGGAGGTGACAAAGATGGCCTCACCTACTAGCAGCTGCTCCAGATCAACAGTGGCCTCCAAGACCCCCTTGGTGGCTGAATAAGAGAGCAAGCTTTGTAACAGCTTGACAACGGCCCTGCTTGTGGCAAAGCCAGGGATGTGGATCAGGGGCCGATAGCTTTTGACCAGGCAATCAGACAAGCCTGAAACATGGCTTCAAGCCACAACTAGGCTTCTGGGCCCTTTGACACCCAGCAATAGACAGCTGGCTGGGTGGTAACGGATGCACCCGTTGTTGACATTCAGGCGGCAGGTCCTGCAAGGCAAAACGAGATAGGCCCCTGGAGGCTGGACTACTCCACCAGGAGGGAAGTCTGTCCCCTGCAAAGAGCCAAAGCAGCCTGTCAAGCCTGGGGAAAGCCTTTGTAAGAGGGAGGAAGCAGATCTATGAGGACTTGCCAGACTTTCACTCCTGACCCAGCAAAGAAGGCTGGACAGTAGGATCAGAATGCTGAACTAAATCTCTTCCCCCCTCTCACTTCCTAGGCCACAGGGGTTTTGTAGAGCTGAACAAGCAGACGTTTGAGTGTCGACCCTGACTCTACACATCTGCATTCAGCACTTAGAACACACTCTACACAGCATTCAAATTGCAAACTTTTTAAAAGCTAAAATTGCTTTGCATATTTTTTTCTTGGGAGAATCTCAGCCTTTTAAAGGTCTGTTTACTCAACTGAAAGGCCTTTGTTGGCTGCTTCAGTGCAGGCAAATTAATCGCTGCCCCTACACAAAACAGCCTGGAGAAGATTAAATCTTACACTAGTGACCACTTCCTTACTCATCAACATGTCACTTTAAGCCCTCAGAGTATCAGTTCTTCCATCATGTTGACATAGCCATTTACAAGAGGCCTTACAAAGTATGGACAGGTATCTTGGATCCAGGATATGATGGGTACATGTTTCTGAAACTTAGTCAGAAGATACACACGTTTGAACACATGTAACACGCCTTAGTTTCATTTCCTAAACTGAGCAGAACTGCTGTTATACGAATATGGTTCATTAACATCTGAGTTCAAATCCCTTTTCAGATAAGCAGCTCACTGTTTGGTCTTGGACAAGTCACTATCTTTCAGCCTGATATAAGTTCCAAGGCTGAGGATAAAGAAGGAGGAGGGAGAAATGGACAAAACAAACAGTAACTTGCAGGCAATTTTTTTACACTAGGGGTGTGCAAAAAAAAAAATTCGGTATTTTTTGGGTTCCGGTGTATCGAACCCAAAAAACATTGTTATTTTCTGATATTCCCAAATCCCAATACCAGCATGGTATTCAAATTCAGGATTTTTCAGAATTTTTTTATAGCTCCATTATACCCTATGGGGATCATTATAGTCAATGGTCCCCATAAGATAGAATGGCAAATAAATCCGGGGGTATCCAGGGTTGTTTTGAGGTAGAGACACCAAATTTTTAGCATAGCTGCTGATGCGTATCCAGGGTTGTTATGAGGTAGAGACACCAAATTTTTAGCACAGCTGCTCATGCGTCTCAAAAAACTCCCCAAGTTTAAAAAAGACCGAATCAGCGGGTCCAATACTACAGAAGGTGCCCCCAATCCTCCATTGGTTTCAGTGGAAGGGGACAAAAGACATTTAAAGGAAAAATGTGGAAGGAGAAAAAAGACATTTAAACACCCTTTAACTCCAGCTACCCAGTGGTCCCAAAAAATCCCAAATACTTTGGGGATATTAATAAAGTATTTTCCAGCTATTTTTTTGGCTTGACTATAGCTGAATACATACCCCTATTTCACAATGCCACAGAGAATGTAACATCATACCTGTTGCAACTCTCTTCTGCTACTGAGCTTACCTTATCCCGGGTACAAATATGCTTCTCATTATCTACTTCACAGACCCGAGCAAATTTAATGAAGCGTTCATAATCAAAGTTATTCTGGATTCCAAGATGATGACAATCCCTAAAAATATTTCAGAAATAGTCAATCATGAATTGTCCAAAGCCAAAAATAAGCATCATTAAGAAAACAGGGGAAAGGTCAGGCCCTCGTTAAATATAATAGATGCTCCTGAGGTTAATTTGGGGGATTTTTGTTCTTTCCGATGAGTATCTTACTAGATAATGGTGATGACATGTTGTTTTGTACTGTGATTTATGTGCAAGTATGTGTTAAGAATTTATTAGAAAGAAAAGAAAAATCATCACATTCTGCCATTTACTTTAATGGGAAAATAATAAGAAAATGGATTTGTCTGCAGGAGAAAATATAACAAAAATCTTTCAAAATTCTGTTTGAACAACAAAAAACTCTATACCTGGCAAAGTAATCCCATTTATCTACATCAATGCCATTTCTTTTGTTAGCCACAATCTCATAAAGAAAGCTCTTCTCTTTAGGTCGTCCTCTGTAAGGCCACTAGGGAACAGGACAAGGGAACCAAGTAAAAACTATATTAGTATCCACAGTAAGCATCATATTGGTATCAAAACAGGGTTTCTAAGCAGTTATAGTTTTGTACATGGTAAAACAGACCATTACTGCTAGCACATCAATGACCGGGGGGGGGGGGGGATGTTAGACCAACTTTTTTGTACAAATCAGTGTCAAACACCTTTGGCTATTTGTTCAGCTACAAACAATGTCTTTTATACTCTGTCCACTAGGACATCTGAGTTCAAAATCCCTAAGATCATTTACAGACTTCATTCCACTCTAACAAGAAGTTATACCGCTCATAGTAAATCACAGTGATTTGTACATGGATTTCACTCTTTCCTTGTTTCTGTCAACCTGGTCTGTTTGGAATTTGATTCAGACTGGAAGGTGAATTGATTCAAACTCATGTTTGACAAAGGAAGCTTTGACTTTCGAAAGCTTATACCCCCAAAATCTTGTTGGTCTCTCAGGTGCTATTTGGACTTGAATCTGGATGTTCTACTGCAGACCAACATGGCTTCCCTCTGAAAGTAAAAACGTGAAGTTTCCTTATACTGGGTTAGATGGTTAGTCCATCTAACCCACAACTATAGTCTACTCCACAGCAGCAGCTCTCCTAATGCAAATGAATTTTATGGCTCTGTTACCAGAGTTCTATTAACTGGATTGCCAGGGCTTGAACCTGGAAGTTGTTACACAGACTGTGTTCTACCATTAACCTAGGGGTCCCCAATGTGGTGCCCGTGGGCACTATGGCGTCCTCTGATGCCTTTCCTCTTGCCCACCAGGTGTTTTTAGAAAGTGGGTGGGGTGAGGTGGCAGATTTGCCCAGCAAGGCTTCTGATTGGCCACTGGAGATTTGACTGGCTGTGCAGATTTTTAAAAACATGGCTTGGACAGCAGCTGCCATCACACCACAGGGATCTTCACTACGTGACTGAAGGTAAGCTGCACTGGCCATTTTTGTGGCTTGGCTCCACCTCCTATGCCAGCCATTTTGTGGCTGTGTGCACCACACTGTGTCAGAATTCCAAAGGTACCTAAGAAGGCTCAAAGAGGCTGGGAACCCCTGCACTAGGCTACACCCCCCACCCCCAGCCCAAAACATCCAAATAAAATGAACTTGTACACAAAATGTATCTGCCACATATGCCTCCTTCTTTTCCCTTTAGATTCTCATCCCTGAGGAATAGCAAAGCCTAGTCCACTAAATATTGTAAATATTTCTGATAACGTATATATTTTTGTGTTGTTCTATGAGCATACTAAATAATTCATTCAGTCACTAAACCAAATAGCATTTAATTCTGATAACATCCAGAAAGGTGGAGAAAAAGACTCACTGAAGAGTCATTAGTTTTTGTGGGTCCTCCTATTTGTTCTTTGATAAAATCTATATCTTCAGGCAGTAGGAGACCATAATACTCCATGACTGGTCCCAGCTCATTGGAAACAATCAAGTACTCAAACATCTTCACAGAAGCCTGTTCATGCTGCAAAATAATAACAACAACAACAATGAAAATCAGAACACATGTTGTCAGCAAATGCCCATAATTAAAAGCACAAAGGAAAACACTCCCTTAACAATACAAACTTTGTAAATATAACAGTGGTACCCTGGTTTTTTTAGGGCCGCTTGGCTCAGAGGCTAAGACACTAGTTCGAGACCCCAGTGCCACTTGATTGCGTGAGCTCCCGTCTGTGGCCCCAGCTCCTGCCAACGTAGCAGTTCAAAAGCAAGAAATTGCAAGTAGATAAATAGGTACTGCTTCAGTGGGAAGGTAACAGCATTCTGTGCACCTTGGCATTTAGTCATGGCGGCCACATGACCACAGAAAAGTCTTTGGACAGCGCTGGCTCTTCGGCTTAGAAGCGGAAATGAGCACCACCCCCTAGAGTTGGAGTCAACTGGCTTTCGAGCAAGGGAAACCTTTACCTTGGTTCTGGCTCCTTAAGTAAAAGGACTCTTGTAGCATCTAAAAGACTGATTTATTATAGCATGCCTTTGCTTCATTTTAAACATGCACATGGATTGAAAGGACACTTTGCTAACATTGAATAGCAAAGTGCATTTGAATAACTAAAAACTCAGATGGGGGGATGTGTGCGGGTAGGCAGCAACTCTTTTTTCCTCAGGGGCTGCATGCAGCAAGCTGCGCAACAACCAAAGGATGGGAGAATGCAGCATTCTCTCCCCTTGTCAACTGCTCAAGTTTCTAATGGCATTTGACACTCCTGCCAAAGAACAAAGCATCTGAACAAAATTGGTAAGGGTGAAATTTGAAACATTCAGACAGTAAATAAAACAGCAAAGTCAAAGAAAACATGCCCTAGAAAAATGCATTTGAGGTGCATAACCTGTGAAAGAAGAGTTAAGAACTTCCTAAAAAAACAGAAGCACAACGATGTATCTTCAAGAGACTACTAAGTCATTTTTCTTGAAAGAACAATTCAGAGATCACACCACCAGATGACAGCACATGATCCTAATATTAACATTCCGTTTATGTGTGTATATATAAACAAATAAATAAAAAGGTCAGATTGTAAATGCAGCACACCCACCTTCCATTTGGATTTTGGATTTGCAAGTGGAATGAATCTTCCATCAAACATATGTGAGAACGGCCCATGACCTAAAAAGGAAGGAGTGCGCAATTCATTTGTTTATCAGAGGTAAGATCATAGAATAGAATCACAGAGTTGGAAGGGACCTCCAGGGTCATCTAGTCCAACCCCTTGCACAATGCAGGAAATTCACAAATACCTCCCCCTCCATGTACGCTTGTTTAGCATACTAATTTTTATATTCCTCTTGACCATACCAAAGCCTTTTTTAAACATTAAAATTGGCTTTCTCAAAAGTAAACCTTACAGCTGCTTAGACCTGGTTAACTTTTCATCTCCTCTATGTGATACATAAAATCTCTAATACCGCTTCTCTGATAAATGTTATCAACCTCTTCGGAGCAACAGGCCTCCTCCTTTGCTCAACAATGTCTCACCTCCAAGTTTTTACCCACTTTACAATGCTAGCTAGACCTCATATGGCTGTAAACCATATGGGACTCAATGACATCAGATAATAAATGTTTTTTTATGCATGTATATATCTACAACTACTTTCTCCCTTTGGTCCCGCATGCTGAATGACAATAAACATAGACACAAGGAATGCGTCTGTATAACCCAAAGTCTCCCTTTCTATCTCTTGAAGACAAGAGGTCCTGGATTCAAATGGACATTCATATTTGAAAACCTTTTCATTCCAAGGATAAGCCCTGGATCTGTAACATTTTACATCCATAAAGACAGGTCAGTGCATAATTACACTACAATGCATTATTAAGTACTTGTATTTTTAGCTTCTGCTTTCTTTCCCCTCAGTCAACATTTTGCTTCCAAGTCTGGCTTCAGGAATTCAGACCTGAGGCTCAAATACATAACTCGATTTTACTCTACTTGGATCACACAGAAAATGGTAATGTAGCCTGTGCAGAGAGCTCCTTTCATTGGCAGTATTCACGCATGTGCACCCTCCACAACTTGAAGGGGTAACTGGCCTTTCATGGCCAATTGGGAGGCTAGATAAGTCTCTTCTTCCTAACACCTGTTAATATAACCTATTAAAAACTAATTTTAATTACGAAGGAAAACTAAAATATGGAAATACTGATGAGCAATTTCAAAGGAACAGCATGGCATAGTGGTTAGAATGTCAGACTAGAATCTGGGAGACCCAGGTTCAAATTGCCACTCTGCCATGGACGCTCACTGGATGACCTTGGGCCACACACAGTAAGCCTGACCTACATCACAGGGCTGTTGCAAGGCAGAGACTGATGTCAGCCACTTTGAATAAATCTTTTTAAAGGTTTGTTTTTGAAGCAACGTAGTACTATGCACTATGAATTAGTTTTTTGAGTCTCTGGAATATAAATTCATTTTGCATAACATGTTAAAATTTATGGTTTAATTTAATTGGGTTAGAATTCATCATCTATCTGTAACTGTTTACAACAGGATTCCTAATTTACCAGTGCAAGGTCATTCACGACCAAGATTAAAGCCATAATAATTGTTATTTGAAGTTACATCAGACTGCATACGCAAATTCGCTTCTGAATTTCTGTCTTCTAAATTAACCTGCACAAGGTAATTCATGGCTGAAGTAGTTCCATACTTCGAAACAGGAATTTAGTCAGCATCCTGTCTTGTTGTGTTTCTTTTTCCAACTTGCTAATTCTTTGGATATGCCATTGTAGTTGTATATAATATAATTGTAATTGTTAACATTGGGGAAATTTTTTTTAGAATCACAGAATGTTAGAGTTGGAAGGGATCTTGCAGGTCATCTAGTCCAACCCCCTGCACTCTGCAGGAGCATAGCTGAAAGATAGCCCTACATACCTACAACATACCCGAAAGATGGTCGTCCAGCCTCCGCTTGAAAACTATTGATAGAGTTACTATTTATTGCTATTGTGGGCATGTTACTTTTTTGTAACTTTGTAATTATAATTATTTTTCATACTTTTGTAATTTGAATTATATATACACCTTCAATATTCCTTCCACAATTATTCTATAATTACCCTCAGACCTCTGGTACTCAGTACCCCTTTTCCTGTTACTCAGAGGTTTCCCGCCTTTCTTGTCAGCCACTTTGGATCCCCACTGGGGAGAAAGGTGGGGTATAAATGAAATAAAACAAATAAATGAATGTTAACATAGCCTAGAAATTGCTAATAACTTTATACGGTACATGGCATATACATTACATTGTATACAGTCCATGAAAAATGGCTTACCCAGATCATGACAAAGACCAGCAATTTGGACACATAAAATATCCCTCTGATTGATATCCAGTCCTGGTTGTCGTTCCTGCAGTGCTCGGACCAAGCGGCCTGCGAGATGGCCAACCCTGTTACAAGAAGGACAGGTGAGTGTTATTAGTGTTGTGCTTTATGATGATGTATCTTGGCTAATGTGGATGTGAATAAACATTTTAAAAATAAAAATTAAAAAAAAGGACAGGTTTCTACTTGTTGACTTTCTGATGTAAAAAAGTAACTTGACAGGTCATAGTTGTAGTGTACCTGTGAGATGTCACTAGGTTCATACATACTGAGCTAAAATCCTGTTGTGAAAGTTCATTAGCATATCATGTGCAAATAAATCCTCTCCACCTATTCACACAAAGAGGAACTGGTTCTGAATAGTTTGCAATATTGGGTGGGGCATGTCCCCCCTCTTTTTTAAATTACTCCTTGTTCCATAAAGGAGTGCATGTCCCACCCAATCTCAAGTGTATTACATCACCAACTATTTAAAACTGGTTTTTCTTTCACGCTAGGATCATACACAGTCAGATAAACAGCCCCCCCCCCACGCACACATACACACGAGAAGCAGAGATATCTTCAAGGTCTCACTACAACAAACCACTACCCTATTAATGGCACTGCATAGCAGACAGATTAGTGATATTCTGCCTCAGATATAAGAAAGAGACTAGGCAGGTGAGGACAATGGTAATAACTGTTTGATTTACCTTGGCTGCGGTCACACACATAAAATAATCCACTTTCCATGCACTTTCCAACTGGATTTTTACTGTGTGATCCGGCAAAATCCAGTTGGAAAGTGGATTGAAAGTGGATTATTTAGTGTGTGTGACCGCAGCCCTTGAGTGTCTGAGAAAAGTGGACTATAAATGAAGTAAATAAATTGTATCTCTTTTCATCCACTGTTTTTAGTGGAGAAACACGGATCTATGTTGTTTGCACTAGAAAGCAAGCTATAACTAGCAATTTTTTATTGCTTCAGAGCAAAATATGTCCATAATTAATAAGCAAAATCTCAGTCATTAACACTAGTAATTATTTTGTTCCCTGTTCCCAGCTGGCTTTCCTCCACCCTCCTTTCCCTTTAGGCTTGCCAAGTCCCCCTAGGGGGCGGGGAAACCCCCGCCCCAGAGGCCTGTTCCCCGCCCCCGGCGGATCGGGCCCCGGGGGAACCCCACCCCCAAAGCACGGGACGTGCCCAGCATCAGCACATCACCCGGAAGTGACGCAGCCACGCCTCTGTTTTTCCCTCGGATGACCGCAGCTCCGCCCCCGGCGCGCCCGCGTCACTTCTGGGTGACGTGCTCGCGTGCTTTGCATGGGCACAGGTGCTCCCGGAGCAAGCCGGGAGTCCCCCGCTGCGGCTTAAGGTAGGACTTGGCAACCCTATTTCCCTTGGAGCTTGATCCTTGCACTATTCCTAATGCCTTGCTGTTCCTTACCTCATCTACTATACCCTGGCCCTTCTTTCACCTACATCTTTCTTTTGCTCCCTTTTCTCAGACCCCTAGCAGCACTATTCCTCTTTTGTTCCCACATATCTCTTTCTCAGGTCCTTTCAACTGGGTCTTGACACAAATTCTCTTCCCTTTGCCCATGCTCCAGACTTTCTTTCCTAAGCCATTTTGATATGTTTGCTCCTGTGTGGTAAAAATTCAATCACTGTGGGCAGTGGCGTGTTACTATCTGGTGATGGCAAGAGCTGAATAATCTGAATACTCTGCTAATTCTTCACTGGTTTCTTTTATAATACTTACTCGCACCAAGGGGATTTTCTTTTGAACTGGTTAGTCAGAGGTAGGCCCACTTCATCCAATGAGCCTACTGCCAGGCCTGTAAGTAATGCTCCTTCAAGCAGCAGCAGCGGCACTGCCGCTTCCTCGACCACTTATCCACCACATCTGGTTTCGAAGAGGGCATTGTGCACAGCCACAGGAAGAAGTGTTGTTAGCTGGTGCTGCAGCTGTGAGCACACTAGGCAATGGGATGCAGGGGTAAGATGGGCTTAAAGGGCTCTCACCTTCCTGGGGCTTCTGCCAAGCCACTTCACAGTTAGTGACTTACAGCAGACCTGAGAGGCTGGCTGAGGCTATGGCTGCTGGCACAGTCAAGACAGTGAGCGCAGCTGACAGGGCTGAGGCTGTGCCTCAGGTGGCAGGACCCACAACTGGCACTGTGAAAGCATCACTCTGGTCCCTCAGTAGGCCAGTACAGGAAAGCCTGCCTTCAGGGAGTAGACAGCTCTGTTGATTTGCAAAATACTTTGGACAGGTATTCTGAGATGTGTTGGAGCTGGTGGAGTGGCAAGGATGACACTACGCAGACAGGCAGTGGGGCTGGATGTCATCCCACCAGACAGATTTAAAAGAACAAGTGCATAGGATAGTGATGTTCTTCTGATAATGATCTGCTTCTGACACCAGAAGTTAAAACATGTCATTAGGTTTAAGAAAGCCTCTCCTTTCCTTCTCTGAAAGGGAAGAAGGAACCAACACTAACTGCAATGGCTATATATATCTTAAATAATTTGGAACAGTTTTTTGCAATGGTTAGAATTTTGGACTTTGAGCAGGGAAGCCCAGGTTGATATTCCTGCTCAGTGATCTTGATCACAGTCTCCCAGGTAATGCTGCCAACGATCTTGTAACCTCTGAACAAACGTAGTCTCTCTGTCAACATCAGCTGTGTCATACTGCATCAGAATCACTTCTGAAATGTTATTAAGCAACTGTAGGAAACAATACCTAAATATCTAACCATCTCATGGAAGCAAGGAGGGGTTTTTTAGTCTTCTTTGGTGTCCTAATTCTCCTGAATTTGCCATATGTATGTAAATTTGTAGCTGGAGGGCAAGCCAGGGAGTCATCTAGTTTATACATTGCGTAGAGCCACCAATACTCAATGCAGTTCTGCAGAAAGGGACTAAACCAAATCTGCCTGTGAATATCAGTAATATGAATCAGGTGGCTAAGTACACCAGTTCAGCAGAAACTTCCTCCAGTTTGGTGTAGTGGTTAAGTGCACGGACTCTAATCTGTGAGAACCAGGTTTGATTCCCCACTTCTCCACTTGCACCTAACTGGATGTCCATTCCCAAGCAGTAGCTCTGATAAGAGCTGTTCTTGAAAAAAGAGCAGTTTCTGTCAGAGCTCTCTCAGCCCCACCCACCTCACAGGGTGTCTGTTGTGGGGAAGGGAAGGGAAGGGAAAGGAGTTTGTAAGCCGCTCTGAAACACCTTTGGGTAGTGAAGGGCGGGGTATAAATCCAATCCTTCTTCATCATCACAGCACACTGGTTTGTAGGCAGTCTATTGTGATTGCTGCATTTAATGTAGGAAGAAGAGCAGCACAGGTACTGCATACTGTTTATGACATGATTAATGATGAGCGACCTCTTACTCTTACACTGTTTTATGAACTTTTAAAAAAAT